TTAAACTTGAAAGGCCCCAAAGTCAAAGGGGATGTGGATGTGTCTGTGCCCAAGATAGAAGGTGAAATGAAAGTGCCAGATGTGGACATCAAAGGGCCCAAAGTGGACATTGATGTCCCAGATGTGGATGTTCATGGCCCAGACTGGCACCTGAAGATGCCCAAGATGAAAATGCCCAAGTTCAGCATGCCTGGCTTCAAAGCAGAGGGCCCAGAAGTGGATGTAAACTTGCCTAAGGCAGATGTTGACATTTCAGTCCCCAAGGTGGACATTGATACTCCAGATGTGAACATTGAGGGTCCTGAAGGAAAACTAAAAGGCCCCAAGTTCAAGATGCCTGAAATGCACTTCCACGCTCCTAAGATCTCCATGCCTGACATTGATTTCAACTTAAAGGGACCTAAAATAAAGGGAGATGTTGATGTTTCTGCCCCAAAGCTAGAAGGAGAGTTAAAGGGCCCAGAATTGGATGTCAAGGGCCCCAAATTGGATGTTGATATGCCAGACGCAGCTGTGGAAGGCCCACATGGCAAATGGAAAAGTCCCAAGTTTAAGATGCCAGACATGCACTTTAAAGCTCCCAAAATCTCCATGCCAGACATTGATCTACACTTAAAAAGCCCCAAAATAAAGGGAGAAGTGGACATGGATGTTCCTAAATTGGAAGGAGACTTCAAAGGGCCGCATGCAGATATCAGTGGGCCAGACATCAACATTGAAGGACCCGAGGGCAAATTGAAAGGCCCCAAATTCAAGATGCCTGACATGCATTTCAAAGCCCCCAGTATATCAATGCCTGATGTGGACCTAAATCTGAAAGGACCCAAAATCAAGGGGGATGTAGATGTATCTGTGCCTGAGGTAGAAGGTAAAATTAAAGTGCCAGATGTGAACATCAAGGGCCCCAAAGTGGACATAAATGCTCCTGATGTTCAAGGTCCAGACTGGCACCTGAAGATGCCCAAGATGAAAATGCCCAAGTTCAGCATGCCCGGCTTCAAAGGAGAGGGCCCAGAAGTGGATGTGAACTTGCCCAAGGCTGACATCGATGTTTCAGGACCCAAAGTGGACATCGATGTTCCCGATGTGAATATCGAAGGTCCAGATGCGAAACTGAAGGGGCCCAAGTTCAAGATGCCCGAGATGAACATCAAAGCCCCCAAGATCTCCATGCCTGACATTGATCTGAATCTGAAGGGCCCCAAAATGAAGGGTGATGT